GGAGTAGAAAGCCTCATCTTTCTCCCGCGGAGCGGCTGGTAGTTTCGAACCGCTGACCTTAAGGTTCGCAGCCCGATTCATAACCACTACGCTAAGTTATAGTAAATTAACCCATATTTCATTGTTCTTAATATCTGGTCATTTTAATGTGTTTTTCCACATCTATTGATCTGAACTCTTTGCATTTGAAGTCTGTGTGCCACAAGACTATCCAGTGCCATTTGTTTTCTGGGAAATTTTACTAAAAAATACCAGATTTATATTTTGGATCACTTCCTTAAAGTTATTAAATAATAGCATCAGATCTCTCCTAATCTTCTCTGTCTCTCTGCTCCCTCTTTATCTGTGTGTGCATGAATAAGCATGTTATGATATCTAAATAATTAGCATCAAAGATGGGTTATGTGATTGTCTTAAGTTGTTGTTTGTTGTGAACTGCTGTCAAGTCGGTTCCAACCCATAGCGACCCTGTATAGGGTTTCTAAGGAGCAGCTAGTGAGCTTGAACTGCCGACCTTGCAGTTCAAACGGCTTTGCAGTCTGGCGCATTAACCCACATCACCACACCAGTGCCTACTTTTTCATAGAGTAGGGAAAAAGGGAGAGTTGTAAGAAGTAGAAGAGATTAGGAAGTTTTCTGATGCTTTTTACAGTCATTATTTCAGGTTATCTATTTAGAAATATGAACTGTCAAAATGTTTTATTGTACATATATTTTAATTTAAGTCATGTTTCAAAGTATGTATTCTTTATCATTTTTCTTGTATTACTCATTTTATATCTAACATGCTGTTGTTAGTATTATTTACTACATGTAGCTAAAAATGATGTTATAACTGATAGAATAGTACTTAATTTTAGTAAAAATAAGTTAGCATTATCAGAGATAGGATAGTATCCCTACAACTACAAGGAAGACCAGCTATACAAACATGATTTAAGTTTATGTGCCATCTGCTTATACCAGAGATGAAGACATTGAAGTTTCTACCAACTTCTAAAATCTGATGTTGATGGCATGTGCAGTCAGGATTCATTGATAATTACTGGTGATCAAAATATGCAAGTTGGAACTAAGAAGGATCCATAGCTGGAAAATACGGCCTTGATGATAGAAATGACACAGGAGGTTGCATGCTAGAGTTTTGCAAGGGTGACTTGTTCATCAGCAATACCTTTTTCAACAGCATAAATGGTAACTGTGCACACACATATCATCAGAC